TTATTTATACACGGTCGTCAATTGAATTAATAGCTCCTCTTTATTAAATTTTTATTTTTTTTTAAAGTGGGTTAATTTGAGAAATAGGTGGAAAAGTGAATTAGTTTGAATATTTATTTGAAAAAGTTGATTTTATATATATATATATATATATATATATATATATATATATATATATATATATATATATATATATATATATATATATATATATATATATATATATATATATATATAAAATCAATTTTGAATCCAAATTTTGCCTGCCATTGAGTAAGACCATAAATCATTTTCTTTCCTTTTTTGGCATATCTTGTTCCAAGGGACTAAGCAATAGCGACTAAAAGACAATCTCAATATAGAATGCACTGTTTCTTAGTATGACATAAGAGTGCATATGAGAATGATAAAAAAGTTTTATAAAAAAAGCTAACAAACAAAATGATTCATTTTTAAAAAAAATATTCATTTCATATTACCCTAGACCTAATTAAGATCCTTGCTCCAAAAGCTTTCACTTTAGTAAGAAATTTAAAATAAAAATTGGCCAATAGCATATAAAGATAACTCAACTAATAAATATTGAAATTGTTAGTTTGAACATGTTACTCTGAATTTGAACTAATTATTATGACTATTTAAGAAAAACAAATTAAAAATTTTATTTAAAAAGTTCAACTCGTTAACAAATAGTTCGGTTTAAAAAATTATCTATAGTATAATTTTAGAATTCTGAATCAGTATATCAAACGAATAAATTTAATTCGATAATTTTGAATAAATTAAAACGTTCGAGAAATGTCTCAATTATTATTTGGTTTAATTTTTTTAATATTTTTCAAAAGAAAAATCCATTTCTCATTATGTCTTCCTTCTCTTATTACACTTCTACTCACTCTACACCAAACCATCTCTCTCTTTCTCTTTCTCTAAGTTGTTTTTGTTTTCTTTCACTATTACTATTGTTTGTCTCCCAAAAGAGCATATAGCTTAGTGCATTTTTCCTCATCAAACAAAAAAACTTGGCTCAGAAATTTGTAGCAAACATTTTCTATACACAAAGCATCAACTTCTATGCATTCTTTTGGCCTCTCTCATCCTTCCATTGACTTTCTTCATTTCCAAATTCCCATGCTCTCCTAAACAAAAAGAAACTCAAAAAGTCTCTTCTCTTTTCTTGATTTCATAACCAAAACCAAAACCCTTCCACTCCTCCATCTCTCAAACCAACCACAAAGTGTAACACTTTTATTTTCCATGCCATGATTAGTGTCAAGAGCAAGAACCTAAAAACATGTCTTGTTTTTCTTCTCCTCCTTCTTTTAATCCTTCTCTTACTATTAAGCAATGCTCCATGTGAAGCAAGTGCAAGATTTGGAAGATTCAAAGATCAACCATTCAAATCAAAATCTAGATTCCATGGTGAGTTTCAAGGGAAGAACAAAAATGAAGATCAAATTCTTGGTGATGACAAGAGAAAAGTTTACACTGGTCCTAATCCTCTACATAACAGATAAGTTCATCATATGAAGAGACAACAAATCCATGTCTATTTCTCTAAATTTCTCTATTTTTTTTGTTCATTTTGAAAGCACTTTTTGTGCTGTATAAGTCTTTTTTGGCAAGTTTATAGAGGTATATATATGAAAGTTTAGGTTTGAGATTATATATAATATTGATTATGAGAGAATGTAGTTTAACTACATATATTATATATATTTGATAATGAAATGTTACATTGTGTTATAACTCTTGATGCATTTACATAATGAAATTCAAGGTTCTAGAAACACTCAATGCGATCGCAAAAATGATCGCAACAAAACCGTTGGCAGATGTCAATACTAATATCATTATTTACGGTTTTATATTAAAAATAAATTGCAATTAATTCACACTGTAACAACATTAACAATTCAACCGCAATGATTCACAACTTAAAACCTTATTATTTGTTTAATTTTTTGCAACACAAAATTAAACATCTGCATATAGTGCTGAGATTTGTAGCAGAGCATACGTAAATGTTTGGTGGGGGACCACGATTGGTTCAAAAAATAATAACATTAATATATTTATTTATTTTTTAAATGTGTCCTATATGTATATATAAAGTGATTCTTGTGATGAAATGAATTAATGGTGAGCCATGGATGTGTATAAAAATTTTCAACAAATATAACACTTTTAATCATGAAGCTAAGAATCAAGTGTCCTTACCAGTCTAGTCGTATTAATTTTTTTCTTTGGTGATTATGATTTAGGTCCCACTCTAATTTCATACTATATGCCAGCCACATATCCATTATAGGGTTGGAGTAAAAATTAAAATGTGTATCCTATAAAAGTATCACTTAATCACTACTTTTATGTGTTTTTTTCCACAAATTAATAAATAGTTATAGGTATTATAAATAAAAAAATAATATTCAAGGTCTTTAAAAGCATGCAAGACAAAATATCGTATATAATTCAAAATTTATCACGGTTAAATTATAATTAAAAAGAGTGTCGTAAAATATTCGGTCTTACTAAAACATGATTAATTAGAGCTTAAGTAATTTGTCATGATTGATTTTTGACGAACATAATTTAAGACGTTTAGACAATATTTAAAAAGTTATAGTTTGATTTTGCATTGAGCTAGATTTACAACATTTATTTATCTCTATTTACGAGAGATAGAAAGAAGTAATAATGTTTTTTTTTCATAAATAGACTGTAAAGTTAAAAATATATAATAAAAAGATGAATTTAAATTCGATTTCTTAAAACAAAAACAAAAAAATACAAACTTCTACATGGAAATATAATAGTAATAGGGTTTTTTTTATTTAAGGATTTCCTTCTTTCTTTAGTTTGGTGAAAAAAGCATTTCCTTACTACCATAAGAGAGGATGCAATAATTACTTTGGGTGCAGAATAATATAGCATTATTTGAAGAGTAGATATTTCGTCCTTCATTTAATTTGTGCATTATGAACAATGTTCTATTTTGCTTCAAATGCATCACAATTATGGAGGACTCCACAAACAGCCAAATTTGAGAGTTAATGCACTGAAAATGAATTCACTGTCAATTCCAACCCAAAAATTATTCACAACATTTCTTTTTAGTCTATAGTTTTTTTATGTCAAGTGTTATCGTCACTGACAGAATCGGTAAGTTATAGTAATTTTCGTATAATTCATATTCAAATTTATACTTTAAAGCTAAAAAATTTAATTTTTATCTAAAAATAATTTTAAAGATAAAATAAATTTTAATTAAGAGCCATTAAACATGTCAAAATCAACTTTATCCAAACGAAATCAAGTATGACAATGACTCTCTAAATATAGAACCAGACATAGACTAACATCAAAATTTTCAGAAAACAGGAAGCTGCAGTGTATGTTTGACAGCAATTCTCTGTAGTATTAACTCAGATGTGACTGCAAATTTTTATTTAAAAAAAATCATGACAAACAATTATAGACTTCTCTCTCTTTCAATACATGGATGCACAAATACTCAAACCCTTAAAGAACGTTAATGTTAATAACATGCATTTTAAAACTTTCTTAAACACATTATTTATGATTGGTTTATGAACACATTTTTGAAAAAATATGTATTCTTACAATTTGGCAGAGAACATCCTAAACTACAAGTGTGGATAAAATAACATTTGGCATAGAACCGGGATCACAAAATGGATACATGGGACAAGAACAAGAGTTGAAAAGTTTATGTTGAAAAGAATCGACAATTTTGTTAATTGTTACCATCAGGTAATAGTGTTTGGAGGAAAGAAAGCAACACTAACAAAGGCAACAATATTATAGTATCACCCTCACGAGCATGTCAAGTCATTTTCTAGGCAACAGAATATGTCACAGCAAACATAAATGTACACGACAAAAATGTCATTTAAAGCAAGGTTCCTCACACACAGAGAGACCCCTTTGAGTATCTTTAATGAAATGAAGCATCATGCATTAATAGCTCATTTGGAAAGGACAATAATTTTTATTTTATCTATAACTGGTACTGAACTTGACTATTATTTTCTGATGGGGTAGTTGAGTAAAAGGATTCATGCTTCAATGACAATAATGACAAACAAGAGCAAAGATTTGCAATGCTGGTAGGACTAGAATGGAGAAAGAATAGCCAATTTACCCAATGCAATGACAGAGAGGAAATGAGAGAGGGGTCCATGTCTATGTCATAAATGTAGTAAAGAAATCTTTAACTTCTTCTTATAACAGTTGCATGCTGGATTTGTGCTGTGAGCAGGAAAGTACTTGGACACAATATATAAAAAAGAAATTATTCCTTAACACTAGTTTTTTATTTAATAAAACAAGGGTAAGGGGGAAGGAGAAATAAGGTACATGTCCTTAATTTGTGACATCAAGGTAGTATAATGAAGTGAATGGTATCTAATATTAAGGTTAAATATGGTTAAGTTAAAGTCCATGTAAGTTTTATTGACTCGAATGTGCATTTGTCTTCGATTCAATCTCTGACCTCCGGCCTTAAACAGACAAAATATATGATAGTCAATTACAAAGATTAAAATTGTTTAAGATAAGTGACTCGAATACGAGTTTGAGAATTAAATTGTCTATAACCAAAAGATTCATAAGAAACAAAAATGGGAAAAGAATCAAACAATTAGTACATGTTTATCAAACTCGTTGTGATTCCAAGCATGCATTAAGAAGAACGTGTCAATATCTTGAACAACTTTTCATCATAAAAATGTGTGTCAAAGATGACAATGCTGTTGAACTAGGACATACTATCCATTTTCATAGTTTCACTCCAGATTATATGTTCCATATAATCAAAGCAACTCAATAGACTCGGAAAACAAGCAGAACTGAGAGGAAACAACAACGTACATTTACTGTATGGAAGTAACGAGTCATGACATCTTATGAACAAAAGTAACAACTCAGTGGGTAAACAATCTACCTCTCATGCAGATACATGATCTAGCTTTAGTAACTCAAAGTTTAGAGGCACAATTTGTAACTTTATTCAATGCCGTTGTGACTTTTGAACCAGATGCACGTCCTAAATGCTTGCAGATGAAATCCCCAGCAAGCATAAGTTTTCCAAGGTCAACATTAGTTTTAACTCCAAGTCCATTCAGCATATAAACAACATCTTCAGTGGCCACATTCCCAGTTGCACCCTTGGCATATGGACAGCCTCCAAGACCAGAGACAGATGAATCCACTGTGCTGATCCCCATCTTTAAAAATAAATGAACAAGATTAAGTAAACAGGAATTGTTTTTAGCGGAAACTATATTACTTAGCCCAATGGAAAATTTTGATTTTTCTGTTCTGTTCTTACTTTTTAGAGTCTATATTTGACAAAAAAATAATTTTTTTGTCCCTCATGAGTCTCTTATCAGAAACGAAAAGCACATACTAGTAAAAAGGAATAAATTTTCTGTAGGGATACATGTCGAATTTTGTCAATTTTATGAAGACAATATATTTAACCATTGTTTCTATAAAGATATACACAACATTTGAAAATTTTCATTCTATTTTTTTGTCAGACTATATTAAGATATGCATTCACTTCCATTTTATTTAGATTGCAAAGACAATACATGTGAATTTAAAATGAAAGACAAAGGACACAATATAAGTTATCTGTTTTATAGGAGCAAAACTAAAATGTTACACAACTGATAGTTTAAGCGTTTGAAGGGGACAAGCTACATCTGACATAAAAAATTTCAAAAAATCTATATAAAAGACTTTCATAATAACATATCAGCATTAGAAGAATAAAGAGAGTTTACCTGTAGTGAAATTAGAATATTTGAAAGTGCCTGACCATAAGTATCGTGAAAATGGACAGCAAGCTTATCAATTGGAACGACATCAAGAACAGCTTCAAGCATAGGAATGACGGTACCTGTAAAGATGAGAAAGATTGACCAAATCCGAATATTTGATAATGCAATCACCTTAGACTTTTCCTTGTATTCCTCGTAAAATACTATCTCAACAAATTCCTTCTAAAGACAGATTAAGAAAAGGAAACTACTTGCAGAAAAAATCCAAAGTGGAGCTAAGACGTATAAGTGCGTATAATATAATTGATCATTTACGGAGCTAAGACAAGATCAGGTTTTGGTAAATCAAGGAGTCAAATCAACAAGATAAAGATCAATAGTCTTTTAACGTGATAGACAGATAGACCAGCATAGTAACCAAGACCAAAAACACCTAAATATAGGTAACAACTGATAAAAGAAACATTACCAGGGGTGCCAACACCAATTGTATCCCCTAATGAAATCTCCGAGATCCCCATCTCATAAAGTGATTTTGCAACGTAAGCTACTTTTGCTGGAGCAATTTTTCCTTCCAGAGGACATCCCACAACACATGAGATGTATCTGCAGTGTGTAATTAGTCACACAATTGACTTTATAACCGCTGTGATGAATTTGAAAGTAAAAAAGTAACAGTATCCTGCTTTAAGATTGTTCACATAATTTGAAAAAGTAAATATATTCGAGTAAGGATGATAGGGGTCTGGCACACATTCTACTATCTGTAAAACCATATTTTTAGCTTAATTTGGGGGGAAAAATTGTTTGCAACAGCTCTTTTGGGAAGCTAGTAAACATAACTTTGCCTTAAAATGTGCTAATTCAGACATACTAAATCACTTTTTAAGCTACGCACTCTTCCAATCAATAACTTGTATATCCAATACGGAAAGATTATGGTCGACAAAATTCCACTGATGAGTATACAATATTACTGCCAAATATAGTCATTAACGAAACAAATCAGTGTATGTTTCAAATTTAAATGAAACACAAATCAAAATCTTTCTTATACTTGATATGTCAGAGCTAAATGAAACTGCCAGCATGGAAATAGGTACTTCAGCTCTGTTAAAGGGAAAGAAATTGAGAGAAAATGAAGTTCATCTTTCATGTATCTAATGAATATTTGTTACAATGAATGATTCAACTGAATCCAAGACTTTGTAAGAGCTATTCTTCCTCTCAGATCTAAATCACCCACCCTTTTAGACAGCTAAGTAAATTGACAAGTGATGTGTCAAGATGATTATGAAAATACCAAGTCCCTTGTTTTGAAATCAAGATGTGTCCAAAATCAGAATTGACGACACATATGAATAACCCTTTTGTTTTAAATAGAAGAAACACATACGTTTTTAGAAAATACTCAAATTTATCCATCATTTAAATGTATGAATAAAAATCATACCCACGAACTGGGATCTTGAGGCTTCTAGAAGCTGAAACAATATCACGGCAACGTGCAAGGTTATCCTCAATGCCACAATTGAGATTTGCTTTAGAGAATGATTCAGAAGCAGCGGGAAAAACAGCCACTTCCTTAGCTCCAGCAGCAACAGCTGCCTCAAAACCCTGGAAGAAAGGGGGTCAAATGATCATAACCATCCACAAATTATAAATCTACTATTACATTTACATTAACTATGATTCTTACTTTGAGATTTGGAGTTAAGACAGGAAAACTAGCACCTTCAACATCTTGAATTGCTTTCAATACATCCTTTGCATCTGCCAACTGAAATCAGTTATTAAGATGTGAAATTGGTTGGTCAGAGGATCACAAGATTCATTAAACAGAGTACAGATGAAAAACACTTCTGAAATACAACAGAAATCATGATTAACAATTCAACAAAAAGGTGGTATAGATAGTAGTAACATATGCACATGAGGCCTGACCAAGTCTTGTAACAAGTAAAGAAAAGACACAAACACTATTCCTGATAACAGGCATGGAATTTGAACTTTTAAAAGAGAAATATAGGAATAGTAATCGAGATGAGAATCGTGGGACACAATGAATTGACAAATAAAAGCCTGCATGAGATCTAATGAAAATATCTTACAGAAATAAGGAAGAAAATGAATCGTAAATAAATAAGCATGAAAAATATATATGAGAAGAGTATTTAGTTGTCTATAAAATCAGAAATGATTGATTATCTTATCTCAAGGAAAAATAAACATATTCTTACCTGTGGCACCCATTTTGGTGAGACAAAACTTGTCGCCTCAACAACAGACAACCCAGAAGAAACTAGCAGTTTTATCAATTCAATTTTCACATTAGTGGGGACAATAACCTTCTCATTTTGCAATCCATCCCTTGCACCAACCTCCACTATCCTTACAAAGTCTGGAATACTTTTAAGATGCTGAAACATGGTATGTATTATTAGTCATGAATTCTCCAAGAAAAGGACAGTCAGAATAAAAGATTTTAACGAAGCAGGCAATTGCTAAATTAGAAATAACTATCCAAACGCTGTTATATCAATTATCAAATGCACAACTTAGAGACATAAAATAAAAAATAGACTTCCTTTTTCATTTAAAAAAAAAGTTATAGTTTCAACATGGATGTTATGTAACCGGTAAAGCATGTATCAACTTAATTGTTCCTTGATTAACAGTGTGTTTCTAGTTATATCAAAATACATAACATTAGAGAGGAAAAGTATACATTAGATCAATTGCACCTTACTTGAGAACCCCTTTGTGCATTTATCATTGTGATCGGCTGTAAAATGACGATTTACCACATAGCTGGCTGCATGATGATTATCAATTGCCCCCGAAGTCCAGTTCAGGCATCGAGATAAAACGTTTCTATTGTATTTGTCAAATGTATTCCTAAGTTCTCTTGTGCTTGTAATTTCCCTGGTGCATTCATGATTTAAAAAGTAAAGAACGCGTGATTTAAAGTAAAGGCCAATATTTCCTTCAAAAAATTTACCTAACTCAATTTAAGTTTACCTAACTCAATTTAAGAAAGCAATTAGTACAACCAAACAACATGCATATATTCCTTCTACAGATATTTATATCTTCAGCAAAAGTTAAATCTTTATCATCCCCAGAGATCCAAACAGCAACAAGGAGAAAAGCATCCATGCATAAAGCTACAAAAGCTAACCATCTTGCCCCATTTATCCATAGGCTATATCAAGACTTATGCTACTCAGTGATCATAAACAAGAATGTCAAAACCTAGCCATTAAAAAAAAAAAAAAGATCCTACCTACCTAGGATCACAAGAATGAGAAAACACATAAATAAAAGAATGGCAACACATGTTTACCTGAAGAACAAAATTATAATGAAACACAGACATAAGAGAGTATAACCAATAAATCACAACAAATGTTTGATTACACATCAATCAAAATTTATAACTTTGCATACAAAAACAACTCATAGCTCATATAACATCAATGAAGGAAAATATTAACAATGAGTTCAACCAGTTTGAAGACTAAACATATCAATTTGATAGAATTGTAAATTACTTCCACGTGAACCTGTCACAGCATATCAGTAAATTTGCAGAAAACACAATCATACAATTTTCGCTGGTGATCCTACATCTATTTGGCAGAGGGGTTATCCATAATTCTCCCACCAAGAAGTATCCTCAAATCACTATATAACTTCCGAATAACTATACAATAATGTAAACCAAAATGTACTACCTACAACACCAATTCACAAGGACTGTTGCATTGAGCATTCAGTATCTCCAAGTTCAACTTTTGAACTGAACAATGCACTTGCTCACCACTGTCATAAATCAACTTTTGAATTGAAAAGAGAACAGTTATAATTTTATAAATCAACTCAATTGGTCTAATAACTAATAAAGATTAGGGTAGCTAGTCAGTTAGATGTTACACTGCAATTATCACAGTTATGAAGTTAGTTAGCAGCTAATGCAGCAGAACTCTATGCGTATTCAACTCATTGTAATTTACTGATTGATCCATTTTCACAAATTCAAACCATCTATAAACAAATTGTATTTTCTCTCTTCCTCCATTTCCTCTCTTATCAAAGACTAAGGGTGTGTTTGAACTGATTGATTTGAATTTATCTACCGGTATAAATACTTGCGAGTTTGTTTGGGAGATCTTGCGGAAAAAACTTATGCCATGTCTATAAGTTGTTTTCAATTTATTTCCCCAAGCTCTCAAGCTTATAAAAACAGTTTATAGCTGATACATAAGAACTTATATGATAAGTGCTTACTCTCGAAGCACTTAATTAAGTTGTTTATTCAATTAAGTATAAACAAATAAACAGAAGATTTAACAAATTCAATTAATAAGAACCTAAAAATTTCACACCACTCAAGCATAAACATATTAGAAATCGATCACATAACAGAAGCAGATTCCTACATGACCCTCAAAATTGATAAACAATTTCCATACAGAAGCAATCTCAACACTAACCACCAATGGTGAAACAAAAATGAAAGGGATTTTTTGAAGATTACCGATAATCAAGAGATTCAACTGTGCGAGCGCTATCTATGGCAGCATAAGACAAAAACGTTGGATTTGTATCAATGGTAGCATGGTTTGAAAACTTGGAAACTAGTTGCGATTGATCCAAGTTTGAGTGTGTGAGAATTGGTGCGCGATTCGAGAATCGCGCCCTTTGCGCAATTTTGTGCATATTGTTTGATAACACGGGAACTTGCACTTTGGTTAGAAGAAAATTTAAATAGTTGAGACGAAAGAACGTTAGGAAGAAATAACTCCAATGTTTTGGCGATGTGATCAGAATTTTAATTTTCCAGCAAATGTGATCGTCATGGATAAGGACAACAACAATATAAGAAGGAATTCAAAATTACAATCTATAAAATTGAAGGAAATAAATAAATAAATAAATAAATAAATAGCTGACTACATACTAGTTGATAAATAAGTTAAAGGATTTAACCTCTAGAACTGATAATTATAATTATATTTTGACTTTAACCACTAAAATAATTTAAGTTTTACCTTATCATATAACACTGGTAACGACTCTGTTTTATTATGAAAAATGTGTCTATTTTGCTCTTTTCAAATAACTCAAACCACAACGAACCAAATAGCGTTAAAAGCCATCGATCGTTTTTCGAAAATCCATCAAGACCACAAAATTGCACAAAATGGTCCAAAATCTTTCCTTAAGATGTCATTGAAAACCCTAACCAATAAAAAATAATAGTCAACAACCCACCGAAAACATCACATGTTACAAATAAATTATCTTCGTTTTCATCCACGCCACAATTTGCCACACATCTTTGATCGTTCAGGACAAGAATCCTCTACCTAGCCAGATTGTCTTTCATCGGAATACGATTCAGTAACAACCGCCAGACAAAAATAGATACATTAACTGACACAATCTTCAAATATAAAAATTGGGAATTAGCCTGACTGTTGATGGTGTCAACTTCAGACAGATTGTTACAAGCACTACTAACCGTGTAGCAATCAGAGGGATGTTCTACTTCCATTTGCAAGAAGAGGGATTTTTACGCCACTTCTACACCTCACCATTCTCCCATTACCCCAATTTATTCATTTCTACTATCGTTGCCCTTTTATTCTCCACTAAATCAAACAGCCTACTAAATCTCACCTTCAAAGGCACACCATCAAGTTAAGGATATATCCAAAATAGAGTACAATACCCATCTCATGTTCTCCGATCGATGTTATCAAGCAACCACCCTCCATCAACCACACCAAACAGGTCCACCACTACACCCAAAACATAATCGCCCCCTTCCTCGCCATACCAAGCACACATAACCCTATATCACAGACTTTCCATCTCATTTAGAATCCTCCAACACTATTTACCAAATAAGGTTAAGTTAAACTCTTTCAACCTCTTAACCTCATACATCCATTTTATTTGTTCAAACAAATAGTATTCCAATTAATCCACGAAGTTTTTCTCACTCCCTCGCCCCCCCCCCCCCCCCCCTCCCCCCCACAAAAAAAGGCATTATAAATATATTCAAGAGAAGATATAACACATGAGTGCGCCTTGAAGAATCTTTTGATATGGTCAATTAGAGGATAGTAAAAATTAAGCTTCCTAGAATCTCCACCAATAGGTAGCCCAAATACAAAAAAGGTAGACGATCGTGCTTATAGTTCATAACCCTCGTTGCATCATGCAACCAAGATTTTGAAACGTTGGCCCTAGAAAACATGCTTTTATGAAAGTTAAATTTTAAACCCAAAATAACTTCAAAAAGAATCAACACTGTCTTCAAAGCTCGTACATTATCCAAACGCTTAACCCCCACCAATAACGTATCATCAGCAAATTATAAATGAGAAACAATAACAACATTTTATGCCCCCGCCCCATACCCTATATACATTCCTTTTTCAACTAAAGCATTCATCAAAACATGTAACCCTTCAGCTACTAACACAAAAGGAAAAGGGAAAAGCGAGTCACCTTGACGAATACCTCTTTCCAACTTAAACTCGTAAGTTAGGCTCCTGTTCACAAGCACAAAAGCAGTTGCTATAGAAACACATTTTAAGATCCATTTCTGCTATAGAGTCGGAAACTTCATTTTACACATAGCATCATCCAAATACTGCCAGTCCATTGAATTATAGGCTTTTTTAAAATCAACCTTGAATAATAATAATTCTTTTTTCAAACTCCACGCATCGTCCACCATTTCATTAGCCATAAGGATGTCGTCCAGAGTCTGCCTATCTTTAACAAAAGTTGACTGAGACTCAGAAATAACACTTTGAATCACTTGTCTTAACCTATTAGCAAGAGCCTTAGATAGAATTTTATATAGACAATTGACCAAAGAAATAGGTCAAAAATCCGAAAAATGCTAAGGACTTTCAACTTTTGGAATCAAAGCAATACAATTATTATTTATGCCTTTGGTCAACTTGCCATTATGGTGAAAGTCAGTAAAAAAGTGCATCAACCCATCTTTTAAGACATCCCAATTTTGTTTTATAAAACCAAGATTAATTCCATCTGGTCCATGACTCTTAAAACTTCACATTCCCAAACTGCCTGCTTAATCTTAACCTCTAAAAAAGATAGTGTCAATATTGACCCCTCCTCTGTAGTGATAAAGAAAGATCATTTATCCCTGGCCGATCAACCGCTAATGACTAAAAATGATTATAAAAATGATCAAAAAAATCACTTTTCACTCCATTAACACCCACTACCTGAACACCATTAACTAAAATTGAGATAATAACATTCGACCTTCTCCTCGAGGACATGATACCGTGAAAGAATTTTGAGTTCGAATTTCCCTCCTTTAGCCAAAATAATCTAGATTTTTGTCAATGGATACTTGAATATAATTTGGATAAAGAAAGAATTTATGTCAATAAAGAATTTAACTCTCCTGGCTCATCCTCCTCTAAATCAAACTCATCTCCTTTAACTTCTAAGGAAGAAATACAATCTCTTACCACTTTGATTTTGCCTTCTAGATCCTGAGTGTGATTATGATGCCATAATTTTAAACTGTCCTTTATCGGCTTTATTTTCTCTTTCAACACAAAACCTCCCTAACCATCCACCTGAAATGATAGCCATTGATCCTTCACTAACTCCTTGTAACCTAGTAAATCCGCCCAACGTTTTAACATTCACGTTGGTCAAGGACCTCAATTCTCTTTATCAATAGTCGTCATAATCGAAAAATGATCATAAATAGTGCGAGGAAGAACCACCTTGATACAATTCAACCAAAAAGAAACCCAATCATTTGATAATACAAAACGATCCTAACGACTCATAGAAAGACCATCCCCTCGATACCACGTGAATCTTCTCCCACACAACGGTAAATTAACTAGAAAATTTGTGTCAATGAACTGATTAAAATGAGTATAATCCTCCAATCGGTCAACAGTTACTCTACTCTTTCCCTCAATTGATTGAATAACATTGAAATCTCCATTCAAACACCATGTGATCCCCTCATCAACATTAATCAGAACACCCAAGTGATTCCATAAAGATAAGCGACTACCACTATCACAAGGAGCATAAACATTGACAAAAAGCCCATGCCCGGACTTTATAAAGTACCCTCCCCTTTTGGATTTTTTATAGGAACATTTTGTCCTATTTTTTTTTTTGGTTATTTTTGTCCCCCTCCTCTTTTGTATAGGTGGCAGTGATGTGGCATGAATGAATATGATAAAAATAATAAAATAATAGATTACGTGACAATGATTAAGATAAAAACATAACTAATTTTATAACATTATTTAATAATAATATCAATATATTTAAAAAAAAATTAAAATAACTTAAATTAAATTATAATAAATTTTTAAATAATTTTTTTAAGGAATATTTAATTTTTTTTGAATAATTATAAGAAATTAATTAAATATAGAAATTGAGAAATTATCCCGAATGAAAGTTTTATATCTAAGTGTGAGTTATAGAAATTGAAAAATTATCCCGAATGAAATTTTTATCTAAGTGTGACTCGAACTTTCCCTAATTGATATATGAACTACTAAGCTTGCCAACTGAGCTACGACTCCACTTTGAAATTTAAATAACAGTTATATAAATTAACACTTTATAGAAATTGCAGAAACTCTATCATGTTAGATTTATCTAACTTTCTATAGGCTACAATCAATTGTTGTTTAGTTTGTGAAAAATGGGTTAATCGTGATTCTGATGGGGGTGCATATATAAGCCCTATTATTAGTTAAGTGATCTCTTTTATAACTAAAGGTTGGGTATCTGAAACCTGATTGGTGTGGGTAAACGCGTGGGCTTTAAACTTGGGCCCATAATGGGTAAGGACTAGGGTTATATATATTATATGGCTAGGTCCCCTCTGTAATCACAAGAATCAGAAACATAACTGATGATTCCACAACTTGCCCCATCGAGAGTTGTGAACGGGAGTGTGAGATACAGAGGAAGATCCGGTCGTTCATCTTTTCGAGATTCTGAATCATGACTTCAACAAGTAAGTATTGATGTTCTAATTTCATATAATTAATTATTGAATATTGATGTTTTCTTTCTAAACTCAATGTATGCTCACTGAGTAGCTTGTTCTTGAAATTTGTAGATGAAGTTGTTGGAGGTGTTTTGATTTAGAGAATTTATCTATCCAAAGGAGATAGATTTTCGAACCCAATGTATGTTCATTAAGTAAATCATCTAAGGTTCTGACCTTGATTGTAATCTGTAGGAGTAACCTAAGATCTCACTCAAGGATATAAAAAACTAGGTTTGATTTCATACTGTGTTTTTTTGACGAAGACAACTCAGTTGACCTTCTCCTAAGTATTTGTGGATGGAAAAACCACTACTGCAATGGCTCTTATGTTAAATAATTCTATATCATGAATTTTGCAAATAAACATAGTGGCTCAGATGGCAAAGCTTAAGTCCAACATACAAAGGTCATGGTCTAATTCTGTTGCAAGTTTAAATTTTATAATTTTATAAGTAATTTATAATTCAAATTTTCTAACAAACGATATATAATTGAAAACAAACTAAGGAGAGAAAATAAAATAATAAAAAGTCATGCTAATTTGATGGAACAAATTCGGCTTCATAAGAGGGAAGAAAGAAAGTTGAAGCAAGTTTGTTGTATGGAATTGTTGTAAGTTTATTGAGAA